GAGGCACTGGGTTCAATTCTCAGCACAGCATACAAATGATTACATAAAAAATAAAGGTACATCAACAACTAAAAAAATATATTAAACACATTAAAATGTCACATTCTACATTAAAATACTGACAATTTTAAAGTAAAATCATTTAAAACTAAAAATTCATGATAAATTTTCTCTGGCAAAGGTCATATATAGGTCAACAACTGATTTTGAAAATATGAAAACTTAGCCAGGTGCAGTGGCACACACGTGTAATCCCATTGACCTAGGACGCTGAGGCAGGAGGATCACAAGTTCAACACCAGCCTCAGAAATTTAGTGAGGCCCTAAGCAATTTAGCAAGACCCTGTCTCAAAATAAAATATAAAAAGGACTGGGGATGTGACTTAGTGGTTCAATCCCCAGTACCAAAAATATATAGAGAAAATTTATGTACTGTTTTTAAAAAGCATTTTACTTAATTTTTAAAAATTATCAAAAGTTAAAAAGTGCTAGATATAATTCCATTTTGTTCCATGGAAGCAACTATAGCATAACTTTAGACCTTTAAAAAAAACAACTGAATAGGGGCTAGGGTTATAGCTCAGCGGTCGAGTGCTTGCCTTGCACATGTGAGGCACTAGGTTCCATCCCCAGCACCACATAAAAGTAAATAAAACAAACAAACAAATATATATATATAATTTTTTTTTTTTTTTTTTTTTTTAATAGCTAGGCATGGTAGATGGTAGAGCACACCTGTAATCCCAACTGCTCAGGAGGCTGAGGCAGGAGGATTACAAGTTCAAAGCCAGCCTTAGCAACTTAGGGAGGCCCTAAATAACTTACTGAGACCCTATCTCAAAAAAAAAAAAAAAAAAGCTGGGGATATGGCTTAGGGGTTGAACACCCCTGGGTTCAATCCCTGGTACCAAAAATAAATTCATAAAAAAATCAAAATTAGGGGCTGGGGTTGTGGCTCAGCGGTAGAGCCCTCACCTAGCACATGCGAGGCCCTGGGTTCGATCCTCAGCACCACATAAAAATAAATAAAGATTTGTGTCCGACTTAAAAAAAAAAATCGAAATTAAAAAGAGCTGAAATAGAGCATAATATTCATCCAATTTTGCCTAAAAAGGAAAACTTGAGCCGTTTTCTAGGCACTGGGAGAGGCTGGGAAACTGGGACCATCCGTCCATCCAGCACCACTACCTGTCTTTGATCTTAGAACCAAGAGATTCTTTCCTGGCCCACCCCTGGAGAGAGTCTATGCATACTATTTTCTAATTTCCGGAGAAATTTTCTGAAAGAATTTTGATGTTTAAATCCTGTGCCAGTACTGAAATTCTTCCAAAGCTTATGGTACTTTGCACTTTAATTTAATACATAAAGTCATTAATCTAATTCCAAATGAAAATACAGCACTTCATTTGGTTACTTGATTTCTTTTTCTTTTTTCTTTCCTTTTTTTTTTAGTTGTAGATGGACACATGTCTTTATTTTATTTATTTATTTATTTTTAATATTTATATTTTAGTTGTAGATAGACACAATACCTTTATTTATTTTTTTTTTTTTAATTTTTATGTGGTGCTGAGGATCAAACCCAGTGCCTCACATGTGGTAGGCAAGCACTCTACCACTGAGGTACAACCCCAGCCCTGGTCACTTGATTCATAGGTAGGGTAATTTTCTTCTTTGGAAACTACATTGATTATCTAAATGGTAGTTGTATTGGAAAGGATTCTAATGCTTTTTCTGTATTCTTCCAGTTGTGAAAATTTTCTCTGCACCACTCAATTGTTTTCTTTTATTCCTTTATTCTAAGACATTTTAGGTTTTCATTCAAATACATGATTTTTTTCTGACTTCATTCAATAACTCATAACATAATCAATGAATTGGTCTCTTATCAGTTGTATTAGTTCTTTGGCAAATTGGACAACTGACATTTCAGAATTGGTTCTGATGCTATAAATTTCACTTGTTTTCTCCTTTCAAGGACAGTAAGAAATGCTTTTGGGAGGGCTACAACAGTAGCATAAAGGAAATTTTTTGGTTGAAGCCCTGATCCACGAATACAGCTTTTCCTATTTACTTGTATTATTCCCAGTAATGTCCTATGAAACACTCAGAGCTCCTTTGGATGATGATTTATAGGTGTTTGGGTGATGATTCATCAAATTCCTTATCAAGGGCTGGGATTGTGGCTCAGTGATAGTGTGCTTGCCTAGCATAAGTGAGGCACTGGGTTTGATCCTCAGCACCACATAAAAATAAAATAAAGATTGTGTGTTCACCTACAACTAAAAAATAAATATAAATATTTTTTAAAATTATTAAGACTATCTCTATAAACTTCATCTGTGCTGGCATAAATAAACTTCTCCATTATGGCTTCATGAGAACATTAATATATATAAACTCAAAAGCCCAGACAAACAGATCTACATGTGGTTTTTTTGCATCAAAATGTAGCACTGTGTCTATTTTTTCTGTTCCAAAAAGTAGTTTCATAAAGTGAGAATCACAAATGTCACCCTAGTCTAGATTTTTGATCATGTTGTTTGGATAATTTTCTACTAAAGAAATTATCCCATATGATGCAGTGTTTGGTTGTTTGGTACTCTCCACCAAGTGACCATCAGGTTAGAAGGGATGAGTTAATGTGTTAATGGGCAATAAACAAGAATCAAGCCAGGCCCAATGGCACATGTCCGTAATCCCAGTGGCTCAAGAAGCTAAGGCAGCCTCAGGAACTTAGCAAGACCCTAAGCAACTCAGCAAGATCCTAAGCAACTCAGCAAGATCCTGTCTCTCAATAAAATATTTAAAAAGAGCTGGGGATGTGTCTCGGTTGTTAAGCGCCCCTGGGTTCAATCTTCGGTACCAAAAAAAAAAAAAAAGAATCAATACCTACATTTCCTCTTTTTTCACTAGACACTGAATTTTTTAAGGGTAGAAGAGTTACCTATTTATTACTCTTGTGTTAATCCATTCCGCAATTACTGAAGACCTTCATAAAATGGGCCAGACATTCTTCCACATACTTAGTGAACAATAGTGTCTACCCTCATGGAGTTTACATTTGTAATGTGTGTGTGTGCACACTAGGGAGTGACAGGAGGTAAACATCTCAGGCCAGGTAGGAGAGGGGACAGTACCACAGCACTGTTGCTTTGTGAGGCAGGTATTTTAAAGAAGTTTTAGCTTCAAAGGAATCATGTATGAAACCAGCACCTGTGGTCACCAGGGCCCACTAAACAAAGCTTCTGGGTGGACCCCAGCCCTCCCAAATTATTACATTACCACTCCATATTCATCCAGAACAAGAAAATATGTGCCAGGCATGGTGGCACAAACCTGTAATCCCAGCAGCTGGGGAAGCTGAGACAGACAGATTGCAAGTTCAAGGTCAGCCTCAACAACTTCGCAAGACCCTAAACAGCAACTTGGTGAGACTGTCTCCAAATTAAAAAAACAAAAAAAGGAAAATGGGCTGGGATGTAACTCAGTGGTAAAGTGCCCCAGAGTTAAATCTCCAGATCCCCCACCCCAAACAAAAAAAAAGAAAAGAAAAAGGAAATGTGAGAGGTGGAAGACAACTGGCTGTTGTTGAGAAGAAAAAGCCTTTTAGTCAGTTGGACTGGCAACAAAGGTCTATTTTTGGAGAAATTCTGAGTCCAAAACTGTTTCTAAATGTTGGTACTGATGTCTGCAACTGCACTATTAGAGCTTTGTTCTTTGGCTCATATTAAAATAAGAATATCCTTGGAGAATTAACATTCAGATATGTAATTAACACAGTAGAGTGAATAAATTTATTAAGCTTTTACAACATGATATTCAGCCAAAAGCAGGTTTAGAAAATAGATGAACATCTATGTCTAAAATAGGAGGCCCTTACTTGGAGAGAGAAGACTTCTTCTGAGAACCCCTGGGCAGAGAAAGCATATGTCATATATATATGCCAAGGAATTGAAAGGGCATGAAAAGTTTATGACTAGATATATTTGAAATATTCATTATTTATCTGTTACTAATAAGAGATTCAGTAGCCAACAAGATGACTTTGGCTATGTATTAGCAACTTTAAATTCTAAAAAGTACTATCAGTTTAATTTTATTATACTGAAGTCAAAACTTAAAAAATAGTATGCGATGCTATCTAATAGTAATGCCTCCCACTCCCACCCCACCTCACACATACCACAAGGGTCTTGCTAAATTGCTGAGGCTGGTCTGGAACTAGTGATCTTCCTGCTTCAACCTCCTAAATTGCTGGGATTGCAGGAGTACGCCATCACACCTGACTCTCTAATGGTAATCTCTAGATATACATTTTATATTTTATTTAAAAAGTTTTAAAATCCTGAGAAGGTTGGGAAAAGTTTGATCAGTGAGTACTAATCTACAGTTATAAGCAGAAAGTCTGGGGTTACTATTGCACTAGTATTGTGACTATAGATACTGTATATTTCAAGAAACTAGAAGAAAGGATTTTGAAAGCTTTCACCACAAGAAATTGATAAATGAGAAGATAAAAGATGTGATTTAAACATTACTCAGTGTATACACATATTGAACATTACATGATAACCCATTAATATTTGCAACTTTTATTTTTGTGTATCAGTTAAAAATAAAAATTTCAGGAAGGAAAAAAAGTTATAATATTCTAGAATAATTTAAAATAAAATAAAGGTACTTAATAGTATATGCATAAACCACTAGCAGGGTATCCTTTGTTCTCAATGTACTGAACACATAAAATTTTTCAGCTAGGTGCAGTGGTGCATGCCTATAAACTCAGAGGCTTGGGAGGTTGAGGCAGGAGGATCACAAGTTCAAAGCCAGCCTCAGTAACTTACTGAGGCCCTAAAAACTTAGTGAGACCCTGTCTCAAAATAAGAAATAGAAAGGGCTGGGAATGTAGCTCTGTGGTTTAGTCCCTCTGGGTTCAATTCCTGGTTAAAAAACAAAACAAAATTCAGACACCCAAATAGAAAACACAAGACAACTCATTTAAGACAGGGAATACTTTATTCAAAACCCATCAGAGAAATGGACAGCCTGGGTCTGTGACAAAGCATTCATGTTTTAAAGCATAGGTCAGTAATTATATATGAGAGCATACAATGCTACATACAAATTAACTGATCAGACCAAAACTTTTCAATGTTCAAATCAGAATAAGCTTCCCTGTAAAAGCAGCACCTTTGTGACATTTTAACTTTAGTATTCCTCTCCTTCTTCCTCACCCTCTCCTTCAACAGAATCCACACCAACCTCTTCATAATCTTTCTCTAGGGCAGCCATGTCCTCACGGGCCTCAGAAAACTCTCCTTCCTCCATCCCCTCACCCACGTACCAGTGAACAAAGGCACGCTTGGCATACATCAGGTCAAACTTGTGATCCAGGCGAGCCCAGGCCTCAGCAATGGCTGTGGTGTTACTCAACATGCACACAGCACGCTGCACCTTGGCCAGGTCTCCACCAGGAACCACAGTGGGAGGCTGGTAATTAATGCCAACCTTGAAGCCAGTGGGGCACCAATCCACAAACTGGATAGTACGCTTGGTCTTGATGGTGGCAATGGCAGCATTGACATCTTTGGGGACCACATCACCACGGTACAACAGGCAGCAAGCCATGTATTTACCATGGCGGGGGTCACATTTTACCATCTGGTTGGCTGGCTCAAAGCAAGCATTGGTGATCTCTGCTACAGAAAGCTGTTCATGGTAGGCTTTCTCAGCAGAGATGACGGGGGCATATGTGGCCAGAGGGAAGTGGATGCGGGGATAGGGCACCAGGTTGGTCTGGAATTCTGTCAGATCAACATTCAGGGCTCCATCAAATCTGAGGGAAGCAGTAATGGATGACACAATTTGACCTATCAGCCTATTCAGGTTAGTGTAGGTTGGGCGCTCAATGTCAAGGTTTCTGCGACAGATGTCATAGATGGCCTCATTATCTACCATGAAGGCACAATCAGAGTGCTCCAGGGTAGTGTGGGTGGTGAGGATGGAATTATAGGGCTCAACTACAGCTGTGGAAACCTGGGGGGCTGGGTAAATGGAGAACTCCAGCTTGGACTTCTTGCCATAATCAACAGAGAGACGTTCCATCAGCAGGGAGGTGAACCCAGAACCAGTTCCCCCACCAAAGCTGTGGAAAACCAAGAAGCCCTGAAGACCTGTGCACTGGTCAGCCTGTTAGAAAAGAAAAGATAAATTTTTAATTTTTGTGCTATAATCATAGTAAATAAACTTTTATTTTAGATCTTATTTTGAAGAATGATTTTTATTTCTTTACCATACTAGAGATTGAATCCAGTGCCTTGCACATGCTAGGCAAGCACATCTACCACTGAGCTACCTTCCCAGCCCCATTGACAAATGCTTTTTAAACAGTGTAAGGAATCTGGGGTGGTAGTTCAGTGATATAGCACTTGTTTGACATGTATAAGGCTTTGAACTTGACCCCCAGCACCATTAAAAAGAAAAAGAAAAGAAAAATGTAGACATTCTTCGAATTACTCAATATTTCTTAAATGAAAAACCTAAATATTTACAAAATGATGCTAAACAGTTCATGTTTTAATTGAATTTTTAAAAAAGGAATAATTTATCTAACCACTACATTTGTTTTTATAATAAACAGCATTGTTTCAAATGTCTTCCTTATGATCATTAATTTACTATATTATCAAGGATAAACATACCAGTTTACGAATTCGGTCCAAGACAAGGTCAATGATCTCCTTGCCAATGGTGTAGTGGCCTCGGGCATAGTTATTGGCAGCATCTTCCTTGCCTGTGATGAGCTGCTCAGGGTGAAAGAGCTGACGGTAGGTTCCAGTGCGAACTTCATCTGGAAAGGAAACCAGTCACTCCTCATTAATAACCTGCACAAGCCTGCTCAACTCTGGTGAGGGGATGGGAGGTAAGAAAGACAATATGTTTTATGTGATCAATGGAGAACCCAGGACAGATCCATCAACTCACCAATGACCGTGGGTTCCAGGTCTACAAACACTGCCCTGGGCACATGCTTGCCAGCGCCTGTCTCGCTAAAGAAGGTGTTGAAGGAGTCATCTCCTCCCCCAATGGTCTTGTCACTTGGCATCTGGCCATCAGGCTGAATGCCATGTTCAAGGCAGTAGAGCTCCCAGCAGGCATTGCCAATCTGGACACCAGCCTGGCCAACGTGGATGGAGATGCACTCACGCTATGAAAGAAAGAAAAATTATAAAATTAAGCTGTATTAGCATTTTGAATTTTCAGTAAATTAAAAAATTATTTCTAGTAATTTACAGGCATTTTTCAAATTTATTTGCGTCATATTCCTAATAAGAGAAAAATGGTTAATGAAAAGCACCTGCTACAAATGCTGCAAATATGTGTGGTCTGAATAATAATGTCACCTTGGCGCAATTTAGCACATAGTGCAAGCCCATTGTTCCTACAGCTATGGTTGAATGGAAGATTTTTTATGTTAAAAAATAGTCAAAGCACAAATTTTGTAAAATGAAATAAATTGCATTCAAATAGTAATTGGAATTCATTGCTTTCTTTTCCTTTAAGTAGAGATGAAGGTTTCTTCTAAATAGGACTTAGTATATTTCAACATGGACATCTGTACTACAGCTGAGGCTAGAAGCCACACCCTATGCAGTCTGTCTGCGGAATCGGAATCCATCAATATTAGGGGGTTAGAAGAAAGACAAGGTTGGCCTCCTGCACTGCTGCACTGCTGCATTGCTGTATTTGCTGTGCCTGGTGCTGGCCTGTACTCTTTGCTACATTATTTAACAGAACAGCTCTATTTCCAGCAACTGCCTACATGATCTCATTGTGCTGCTTTGCCAGTGTTCCTCCTCTGACCCAGCCTAGGACCGTGTTCCTGAATTGAAATGAATTAATAAAGATGCACTGGAACAAAAGACAGCTGGATGAAGTATAATTCTCCTTTGCAGCAATTTTTTTCTTTTTAAAAAATTTCCCTGAATCTTTTCCACTGTAAAAAACTGAAAAATTATTAGTACTTTTAAGAAACCAGTTCCTAAGTTCACACAAGATGCTACCAAACAAAAGAAATTAAAGTCCGGTGAAAAGATAATGAAATATTTATTTAAAACAAAATAGTATTTCTTTTTTCTGAGAATCCCTACCCTCCCCTTAACATTCATATTCTATAGAAACGTTCTCTATAATCTAAAGAATATAGCCCCTAAAGGGCTACACCTTTCATTGTCTATTCACTGACTTAAGGGGGCGGGGGAGCGGGGAAGGGCGTTTCCCTTAATCGGGACAACTGGGGTACCCCGGGCTTCACAAAGTGGGCTTTCTCTCTCCTCTATATCCATGCAGCCTCTACAGTTTAGGTCTCTGGATCTCTGTCTCTCTTTCTCAGGGCGGGTCATCCTCATTGTCAAGTGAATTTTTGCTCAAGAAAAAAACGTCATCTAAGTTTTAATAGTGAATTAAAATACTTTTTGAAGCCCACAGTTCCACAATGATGAAAGACTTTTATTATAATTCTTTCCTGACAGAAGAGGTTTAGTGAGGCGAACCCCGCCCAACGCCAGAAAAGCAAGAAACAAACAACTCCGCCCCTGCGCCTCCTTGACACCGGCTGCCAAGGGCTCCAACAGAAAACTAAACCTTTTTTAAAAATTATTATTATTTATTTTCCCGTTAATACATGGGTTTCTTTCTAAAATGCCAACAACCTGCGAGGAATCTTTTTGTACAAACCCAAGGCTCGGATTTGTCTTTTTTCCTGCCCCCTCAATCCCCTAGCTCCACACCACTAGCCAGCCCCGTTTGGTATGTGAAGGTTTTTTTTTTTTTTTTTTTCCTTTCTTCCTCTTTTTTTAGACTCCTCCTCCTCCCCTCCCCTCTCTTGGGAGCGATATAAGAAAGAAAAGGGATTCTTGGAATTAAACGAATCCTGGCTCAGAAATGCAAGGGCCCAGTACAGGACACAACCACCGCCTTTTCCGGCCCCAGACCCTTCCCGCACTGCAGATGGGCTGCTTGTGGTCCCGTAGGGTTCTCGGGTAACAAAAACCCCTCGCGCCGCCTTTGCTCTTCCCCATGATTCTCCAGCGTCCTGGGCACATTTCTACCCGGGTTTCAGCTCCCGCACTGCGTCGGCAGCGGGGCTTAAGGATTTAGGGTAGAACAAAGCTAAACCTCACACAGCGTAAGACTACCGGAACCCAAAGAGATTACAAAAGAAAAGAGCTTAAGGTTTTCCAAGAATATCCCAGGGTTCTGACTCCACCCACCGGCCAAAAAGAGCCGGAAAAAACACATTCTTACCATGGTTGCTGCTTCGCGGCTGCAGAGCAGATGGCGGAGAGGAGAGGAGAGGAGAGGTTGTTGCTTCTTACAGCGCGACTCTTAGGCGGTCGATGTAAGAGAACCTGCGGCGCAAAGGCGGATGCGGCTCCCTATATACAACTCGGTCACCATGGGGATGGGCCAGGGCCTTTTCCTGTTGGTCCAGACCCCTCAATCTGCCCAGAGAAGCCACGACAGGAGAGTGGTGATTGGTGCAAACGACATGGGATGAGGTAATCTCTCCCCCACCCCTTTTTCCCTAGCATCCATAGACTGTTTGCATCCTTCAGACAAAGAGACCGTGCAAAGGCAGTCAACCGAGCATCCATTATGGGGTGGGGTTGGGGAGGGGCGGAAAGGGAAGAAAGAAAACGGGTTGGATTTGAGGTTTTTTGCTTAAACCTTAAACTACAGTTAAAATCATCTATGTGTTTTCCCTACATTTGGTCACAGAATTTATGTTGAGATTAAATAATTATGGCAGTAATTTTACTGCCAGCCTTTCCTCATAGTATTTTAAACTCGACTATATTTGGTTAGGATGAAAGATCTCAATTACTTTAAAAATAAAGACGAGAAGATGGGAGTGATGGTCAAAATGACTTGGGTGAATATGATTTTTTTTTTTTTTTTTAGAAAGGATGCTGCATAGTCATTCAAAATGGTTTCTCAAGTTCAAATAATTTATTTTCAGACCTTTGCATGCACCAAATAGCTAAACAAAAGTGAAAAATGGAAAGAATATGATAATTAGAAAATGCAAATTGTTCTAATATGCAATAATAAGAGCTAATGTATATACAGTAAATAGTTTACCAGAGATATTCCTTAACCAGAACTCTATGTAATATATTTGTGTGGTGCATTGTCCCTATAAATGAATCATCTTTCCAGATATAGAATTGGGAAAATACAAGGAGAAGGAATTCAGTTCAGAAGCTAGTACTAGTTTTATTTCTGCATTACTCTCTTTTCTAGAAAATATCAAACAAAAACGTTCAATGCACCAAATTTTAAAGAGTTATATAACATATAAAGTAAAAGGAAGACTATTTTGTTATATTGTCTCCATCCACAGACTACTGTGTAACCTCAGCTCAGCTGCATTTCACTTTTATGCAGTTCCTATGTGAATTTGGTAAATAGCCTCTTCTGAGGTTGGGCTTCTGACTGTGGGAATTGTAGCTGCCTCACACCCTTGCTATTCAACTAGAGACTGCAATGGTTGCTCAATTGCCCCTTGGGACAAAAAGGCTTTGCTTTCACCCCTAGGAAATGGATTGCAGTAACATTCTTTTGCTATTTAGAAAGGCTCCATTATCAGCAAGGATGGGTTATGCAGAATAAGGCTCTGAACTGTGGACCACTTAACATCGCTGAAGAAATTTCAGAAGTAATGAGGTTTGTTTGACCACCAAAATTGAAAATTTGGATTTTGACCGACATTTTTCCTTTTGATTTTAACCAACATTTTCAGGGTCTGCAGCACTATTTACAATGCTCTGCAGAGCCCATTCATTCCCGTTTAGTTGGCAGGCAGTGCAGGGTGTGGGAGGGAGGGACTTGAGAAGACAGCTGCTGCAGGTTGTGGTGTGACAATGGCAGCCATGGATTTTTCTAGCCTACCATCCCAGCTCAGGTTTGCTTGTTCAAATTTGCTGCAATCATTTTTTCTAGAAAAAATAAAACCCAATACACAATTTTTCTACTTCTTGGATATTACATGGGGAAAATAATCTCCATCCTCTCTAGCAAATAAAAGTATATTTCAGTAAAGAGGAAGATTAAGGATGATTTGAATGCTTCTTTCTAACTTATAAATACATTTAACAAAAATAATAATTAATTGCCCTATAGAGTGTAAGCATTAACAAGCAGATCATTTAAAATATTTCTTCACAATTTTCATAATGAAAAATCAGACAGTACTGGACCATGGTAAAGTGTAGGAATTTTTTTGGAAAGAGAAGTAGTCTTGAATGTAGTGTTCTTTATGATATAAAAGACTAAATAAGGAGTATTTCATTTATTTCCCCAATAGTGAGTTCTTTATTCATTTTACAGAGGATTAAATAAGAGGAGGGTTCATGCAATTGATTCTTTGTAATTCTATCTCAGAGCCATTCTGTTCCTTATGTAAATGAGGATTTTTTTCCTCCCCTTGGAAATAAGTAACAATAAGATCTAGGTCAGAAATAGACTATTTAAGCACTGATAATCCACAAATATATAAATGGAAGATCAAAGGAAATAACCAGTTTACCCAATTTGTACTTTTTAGTCCTCATCTGATTTAATAGCATTTAAACTATGGAAAGTTAAAAAAAATTACTATTATCCTATTTTTATGACTAATTTCTTTAATTTATGTCATATACATACATGGGTATTATATTAACAGATTCATTCTGTAGACAGTAAAACATAAAATATTTTTATTTCATAAAATTTGTGGAATTTTAATTATTTATTTGCATGTCTATACCTTTCTTCCATTAAAATGTAAGTCCTACTTCCTGCTAAAATGCCTTGCATACATTAGGCATTATTTATGGTTTTAGGCTTTTTTTTTTTGGTATCAGGGATTGAACGGGGTCATTCAACCACTGAGTCACATCCCCAGTCCTTTTTATTTTTTATTTTGAGATAGGGTCTCATTAAGTTGCTTAGGGCCTCACTAAATTGCTGAAGCTGGCCTCAAATTTGAGATTCTCCTTCCTCAACCTCTCAAATTGCTGGGATTACAGGCCTATACCAACATGCCCACCAATGTTTGTTGAATTAAACATTTTCATGGCTAGTAATTTAAGGGTATTTAATAAAGTATTTTACTGTGTATATGTAACAAGCATTTACTGCATTTCTGTAGTGAGCCCAGGGCCATCTTCACTAGTGGGAAACTCAGAGGTAGTAGCATGGTCTCTTTTTTGTTTGTTTTGTTTTGTTTTTTGGTGTTGCTGTTGATTTTCAGTACTAGGGAATAAACCCAGGGTTACTTTCTTACTGAGCTACATCCTCAGTCTTTTTTATTTTTTATTTTAAAACAGGGTCTCTCTACGTTGTCAAGGCTGGCCTCAAACTTGTGATTCTCCTGTGTCATGTTCCTGAATTATAGGCATGTGCCACCACACTAGGTGCTTGGTCTCTTTTCTTTATAATCTTCTGAACTAGGGAAAGAATTAAGAATATACATTTATGTAGATTTGAGAATAAGGTGTTTGTAAGTATATGAAGAGGGACCTTGTCAGATTCATTACATGACCCCACATATCATAACTTACATAGGAAGCAAGAGACTTGCTTTACTTATTCACCTCTTATTCATCTCTAAACCCATTTCCATCTTGATACTACTCCTACCACTCCTTGAAACTAAAATCCTCCAATGTTTGTTGCTAAATTCACTGTATACTTTTTAGTTCTTGTTAACTCGTGATAACCTTTGTCACAGTCCACTAGTTTCTTTTTCTTGAGACAGTTTCTTCCCTTGACCTCAAAAACTTTCTGGGCATGCTGACATGCACCTGTAATCCTAGTGATTCCAGAGGCTGAAGCAGGAGGATAGCAAGTTCAAGGCTAGCCTCAGAAATTTAGCAAGACTCTGTTCTCAAAATGAAAAATAAAGGGTCTGGGGATGTGGCTCAAGCCTTAACGGGGTCGCCTGGCACGTGCGGGGCGTTGGGTTCAATTCTCAGCACCACGTAAAAATAAAATAAAGATGTTGTGTCCACCGAAAACTGAAAAATAAATATTAAAAAAATTATCTCTCTCTTTTTTTTCTCTCTCTCTCTCTTTTAAAAAAAAAAAAAGAAAAATAAAAAGGGCTGAGGATGGGCTGGGATTGTGGCTCAGTGGCAGAGCGCTCACCTAACATGTGGGAGGTGCTGGGTTTGATCCTCAGCACCACATTAAATAAATAAATAAAATACAATTACAACTAAAAAAATAAAATAAAATAAAAAGGGATAAGGATATTCAATCCCCAGCACCACAAAAGAAAACCTATGTGTGTATGCCTGTAATCCCAGCTACTCAGGAGGATGAGGCAGGAGGATCACAAGTTTGAGACCAGCTTGGGCAATCTAGTGAGACCCTGTCTTAAAATATAAAAAGGGGGGGCTGGGGATGTGGCTCAAGCGGTAGCGCGCTCACCTGGCATGCGGGCGGCCCGGGTTCGAGCCTCAGCACCACATACAAACAAAGATGTTCTGTCCGCCGAAAACTAAAAGAAATAAATATTAAAAAAAAAAAAAATATATATATATATATATATAAAGGGCTGGGAATATATAGCTCAGTAGTAGGGCCTAGCATGCACGAGGCCCTAAGTTTAATCTACTACTTCACAAAAACAAAACAAAATCTGTGTTCTGGGTTTTCCTCCCACATTTTGTTTCTAGTCTCTGTTCGTTCTTCCTCCTTTCCCTAATCTTCAAATGTTCAAATTCTTCAAGGTTCAGACCTTTACTTCATTTTGTGGTACTATATACATGATCTCGTCCATTCTTAGTGGCTAGCAAGCACATCCATTCCCAAGCTCAAAATCCTTTTTATATGCTATTACTTGATATCTTTTCTTAGCTCCAGATCATATGGTAAATTCTTTGGACTTTTAAAATTATTATTTATTTACCATGCTAGGGATAGGACCCAGAGTCTCATGAATGCTAAGCAAGTGCTCCATCACTGAGCTATAACCCCAGACCCTGACAAAGTATTTTGAACTTTGTTCTAAAGGAGTTTGAGCATGAATCCATAAAATGTGAAGCCTTTACATTCTAATAGAAAAGAATGGAAAATTTGTGGGAAAAAAAAAAAGCATTTTTGTAAAATTAATCTGACAAATGTATGAAGTAGGGGGAAAGGCTGGAGACAAAGAGACCATAAGGAGGTTATTGCAATAATCGAAGCAAAAGGCCTCAGATCATCATTACTTACAGTGAAAATGGATATAAAAGGACAATAGAAAATGCTATTCAAAGGAAGTACGCTATGGTGACTGGTTGGACATGTGGCAAAGAAGTAGGAGTCAAAATTAACCCTTAAAGTTTTTAGCCTAGAACACTATAAGAATGACACGGT